AAAAATCACCAAGAATCTGAAGAAACCCAGAAAGTGTGTTTTATAAAAATATATATGCAGAGTTGCTTTGGGCAAGGCTCAAATTGTCCTTGTCTCTAAATGTCCATGTCTCAAAGTGTCCCTGTCACTGAATTGCTTAGGCTCAAATTGGACCTCTGTCTTGAATTGGCCCTCTGTCTCAAATTGTCCCTGTCTCATATTTTTCCTTGTCTCAAATTGACCCTGTCTCAAATTTTCAATCTCAATTGGCCCAGTGTTGAATTGTCTTTCTCAATTTGTTCATGTCACATATGTATTTTTACATGATTCTTTGTTAATATTTTTTTTCAGGCTATTAAGAAAATTAAGCTACTGTACATCCTTCCCCTATCAAGAGATGCAAATAAATAAATAAAAAACACAACAGAAAATGCTGGGGTAATATTTAAATTCCAAGATTGCAAAATGCTGCCCTTTCATTTGAAAAACAGAACCACTGACATCACAAGTTAATCCATACTATTCTTTTGGTCTTTCTTGTTACAATAAGGCATTGTTACAATATTTGTGAAGCCCTAATATAATTCCTAATCAAAATTGCAGACTGAAGATGTCTTGAAAAATTTGCAATATTTACTTTTTATGGTCTTAAATTTTCGGTGGTGAACTTTCATGCTGTCTTGGCAGGCCAGATTTTAAGCCTCCGCGGGACAGATCTGGCCCGCGGGCCGGATCTTGGGCACCCCTGCCGTATGTGAAGAAGGAAGGAATCCGAAATGCGTACGGTTAAACTCGTGTACTGTAGTGAGTTTCTGCTTATTGTCGGTATACAGTATAGGATGAGTACGTTGAGTACGTATTATGAGTCTCACGCCTCGTCCATTCTTGTACACGTTCGTTATGCAGTACATCACACAACAGAAATAAACAAGTCAGCGCACAGTATGAAAGGATAGAAATCAATGTCAGTTTACTATCTGTACATGCACCATAAAAACGGAATGATGGTGCACTCTCGTCCCCGCTGCCCATCGCCATGTTTTACAACCTGCTGTAACTGTGCTGGACTTCAAGCGCTTTCAACTATTCTTGGTAGGTGTCGCTGCTGAAAAGCTAGACACCTTACTAGAGCGTACAGTAGTTGTTACTACAGTACTGCATGGTCAGTAAGAAGTAGCTGCCATGCAGCGGTTCGCGTATTCGAATAAACTGATGACCAGTAATCACCGAGCGTCTACGTAGCTTTAGCATTGGTCGAAATTCGTCTTGTTGAATGTGTGCGGAAAGCTGATGTGCTGCGCTTCATTGGAATGCCGACAAGTTTGTGTTGGGTTTCGATTAGATCAGAATTCGTTCCGGGTTCTTCCAGCAGAAATTGAGAAGGTGTGAATACCGATTGAATTCGAAGTTTCAACGGATTTAGTGCTTCGCGTTCCTTCCGCGTGCGTGTAATAGTGGATATTCTTGATTAGCCTTCGGAACTACAGTGCATATTTTTTTCTTGCCGCGTATATATATCGATTAAAATGTAAATACCATCCCGTCTGTCTCACATTGAGGTGAGGGTTCCATGCATGCAGTCATGGTGAGAAGGGTGCGTGGAATTCGAAAGGAGAGGAGCCGTTGCGTATGTGGGACTCAGCTGGGATTTAGCGGTTTTCTGAATCTTGTATTGCTTCCTTCAGTTCTTTGCAATTGAATTTTCTAAGAAAAAACAAAATGTATTTCACATTTTTTGTTCGTTGAAATACTGTATGCCGACTATAGTATACTGTATAAGACCTCGATAACGTATATATGACGGCAATTTTTTTTTTCGCTATGTTCGATACTTCCTGCTTTTATATACCCCACCCGGTAAAAAATCTTCGGTTTACTCCTGATGGCAGAATATTGAGCGTCGGATTTTCTGATCTATCTATAGAGGGTAATGTAGTACTGTATATGAGCTGTGAAGTGACAATTTCACGGGATATTGGCGTTTACTGTGGTAATTTGTCGTTCTTCGAACGTTGGATGTGCTGTCAGTGATGAAATTTTCCAAATGAAAGTCAAGTACGGGTCCAGCATATTCGAGCGATCTCTCGCGTGAGAATCAAATTACGTACCCCAATAAGAAATCGCAGGAAAAATCAGTTCTGCCCCTATAATAACTGACAAGATTAAGTACTGTATTGTGCATTCTTGACATGGTGAGTTTTCTGTGTGGAGAAGAAGAATTCTTTCCGCCGGTCAGCTACTGCATGTTCGTATGTTGATAACTTATCTCTCCTTTCTACCTCGTTTCGGGACAGGTGAAAATATCATTTTCTGGAACCTATTTAACAAACCAAGTTGACATCACGCAGTTTTCTGTAAATCTTGGCAAGCCTATAAGACGTGTGGAGTGGGCCGAAAATGAATTGATACTGAATTTAATTCGTTTTGAGTTGTTCATCTTGTTATGACATTTATGAAAAATAACTTCGAGGAATTTATGCGCATTGAATTGTTTTCGATTGGTTCTCGTCTATACGATTTTTGTGCAACACAACGTGAGTCCAATTTGCATTCGAATTTAATGGTACAGTCTCGCTTGCAATTGAATGCGCATTTTAAGATTATAATAGTCAACGAAAAGTTCGGGTATAGATGAAGACTGCCCTATTATATAGACATGTTGAAAATTTAACAAGTACATGTACATGTTGAGATGTTGTCTCTCGGCGACAGTGACAATCCGGGGACCAGGGAACCTAGCACTTCTAATGTTATAGACTCCGCTGGAGAAAATTTGACTGAAAAATCGTTTCAGAAAAATCGATGTGCAGGAATTAATATCTGTAATTAATGGTATCTCATTATTATTACTTCAAACGATCAGACCACGTAATCAATGCCCAATTGCCCGTTGAATCTTCGAAACCTGGATTATAATAGACGTCAGAAAAAGTGAATGACAGAGCAAGAATTCGGTGTTCGTCAAGTCATAGAATGAAAGTTTCAGTAAATCCAGCCTCTGCATGGAAGATGAGTTCTATTTTGAAATCACAGACAACTGAATCAGTGAAATTGATGTGGGTTTTGAATTCTGCTGTGAAATATATATTTTTTACATATGGATGACGTTTGTCTAATTCACGCGTGAATGTAAATATTGTATTCTAACTTTCTTCTCACGAACCAAGCAATACAAATTTTGATAAAATAGTGGTTGTGCTTTTCATCGGGTGCGTGCAAGAAGGGTGGTTCCTATGTAATTAAATCTTGTCGAAGGCATTTTTGAAGAAATACGCGAACAGTGTTCAAGTACATTTCCATTGATTTTCTTGAAAATGTAAAAGAAATCAAAAAATCATGAACTGTAGATATGGTTGGGTGAGTGTTCCTGAGAATTTCCCGTTTTCTTGTTTTTTGTTTAAATAAAACCAGAGTGATTCTCGTCCTTAATGCTCATACGAAGCTGCGAAAGAATTACGTTTTCAGCCCGGTTTTCATTCATTCCAGGAAGTGATGCAAAGAAGCTTCGATTCCTTATTGGAAGTGATCTGAATTGGGCAATACATTCCAGTTTCGATTTTTTGCTGTCAATCATGTCTCAAGTTGGACGAAGCGGAGTCGTCTCACGAAGTTCATCTGATGTCGGGGCAATAATGGTGGAAGGAAGACCTAGCACTAATGGAAATTCTACCGAAGTGACTAGCATTGCGAGCGAAATCATTGATCGTGCCAGAACGCCAATGATGCTGGGGCCATCATCATCGAGTTCAGCCAGAATTTTGTCAGGAAACGCGCAAATAATACGAGGTATTCCACAACTTCCATCATCACTGGTGAGCTGCGGAACAAATAACGTTACGCTGGACAACGAAATTGACTCGAACAAAGCCGCTTCGAAAGTTCTAAGTGTAGCTTTGGCTGTAGCGAAAGGTGACGCGGCTCTTAATGCAGAAAATCGCTGTGTTGCTTTGAAAGCCTTTGAGGATGTTCTCGAAGTTTGTGTCGACTCGTTGAGCTACTTCATTTCATTTTTGAAAAAGGAAGCCCGTATTGATCCCTCTGAGAGTGAGAAGCTCAAGAAGCTTAAGAAAGAATTGAATCTACTCGTTTTCGAGTCTCCCGAGTCACTGGTTCATGACTGGAAGAATCTGCGACCCTCTCAGGATAGAATCCTCGGGGTTCTGTTCCCGGAGCGTTCAACAACAACAGTCGCCCCGAGCAATGAACTCTTATTCAAAAACATCTTCAAGAGATTCGACAATGAGAAGGACGTCTATGAGCGTGAGCTTGAGAGGTATGGTCAGGGATCACCTTTGGTGGGGTACGATGAAACACCGTTGAAGTATATCCGACGCTATGACAAATCGTTGCAGTCGATGGGATTTGTGAAATACTCGGGGGAATCTGATACGGACCTTTACTTTGAAAGAGTTTGGTCTCATTTCAGGCCCATTCACGAAGCCCCGAAAGACCAAATCACTCCCATCAGAGACCGCATCAGTCTCTTCATGTTGCACTTGGATGGGAAAGTGCACAGGAAGGTTCATGCATATACCAGGGATTACTCTGAAGACGATTACATCCGGATGGTCAGAATTATGTTAGAAGACCATGGACATTTGTGGAGAATTCGGCAGTCGGTTTTCGAAGACTTGAAGAACCTTCCTCCTCCCAGCAATGAAGGCAATGCTAGCTATGCCAGAGAATGTTATATGAGAGAGTTACTTCAACTGCTAAGAAGGCTCAAGTATCTGGAAACTGACATGCATGTAGTGCACAAGTGCATTTGGCCCAGGGTAAAATCAAATCTCAGGCATGAAACTCTGGATTTTTTTATCGAAATGAAGCTTGAAAAGGTGTTCTCTGCCAAACAAGCACAGTGGGAGAAAGATCCTGTGGAATTTTACCAGTCGATTTTTGAAACCTTGAGGTATAGGGCGTCTTTGCTTTCTAAGATCTTAGGCAATTATGCTGTGTGTGGGGCCCCCAAAAAAATATGAACCCCCCCCCCCTCCCCCCAAATAAATTCATACGCCTGCCAATTCCTGAACAGCTTTTTAAAAATTCAATAATCAAGAGACTTGGAATACAAGCTTGGCTTAAAATTTTCTAATGTTTCTAACACATTGTGTTTCCGGTTTAAACTTTATGTAGATACTTTAATGTGGTTGGCTGAAAAATCTAATTCAACTTACTGAAAACATTACCTTTCCTCAAAGTAGGAAGACAATTTTCTGCATACTCTGCCAGAATCACATGAACCAAAATTGCCCTTAAACTGAATTTTCTGTTTGGAAAAATTATGTATGAACAGATATTCTTGGATTGACTTACAAATAATGAGCAAGCTTTGATCATCTGTAAAAAAAAAATTGTCTTGATATTGGATTAATTCTTCAAACCTTGCTTGGAAAAGTCTTCTATTTTTTGCTGGATTGATGGAAAATTTAATTTTTTTGAAAATTTGACAAACTGTCACAATTGAAACTTTTTTGGGTAAATTGAGCAGCTTAGAAAAGAAATGATTGAATGTTCTTGTGGGCTTATGATAGCAAAGAAAAATTTTTACAAATCCTAGAGGTAATTTTGAGGAAATTTGATGTATTTTTGGGATGCCATGACAATGGAAGAGTTGGGTGAGAAAGATAGGGGGTAGGGAATGAAACCATAGTTTTGTTTCACAGGCTCATCAAAGACAATAGAAGAGGGTTTGTGCATGTGGGGAAAGTGTTGGATCCATGATGAAAAGCTGTTATTTTTTTATAATTGGCAGCATGCTGGTTACTCTTGATGCAACAATGAGGTCCTGTGGAGAAAGTTTGATTTGTTTTTGGTGAAGCTTTGCTTGTTTGTTTTGTTCTTGTGGAGGCCCTGGCCTCTGTGGGTTGCCAGGCATGGATTATGTGCTTTCTTGTCTTCAATCAACATTCCATCTCACCTGGGCCAGCATCCCAAGCAGAATGGAGGACAGAGAATCTTCCCTGATTGTAACATGCAACAGAAGAGAACCCCTATATGAGCTGTTCCCTTTGCAACCTTAATGAGTTCTTTGTTGATGGAGCTTATACCAATATGTTCACTGCTTCATACCATAGCATTGACCGCAAGCACTGGGCTGTTGAAAATGACTTCCAGCTCATGTTGGGGTCTACCATTGTGCATGCTGGTCAGCCAGCGCATTTGAACAAGATCCGAGTGCTGGTAAGATTATTATTTTTCTTCTGATACCAGATCATGCTTGCAGTTTTATTGGTACAGTATTTGATTTCTAGCACCCTGCATGCAGACAAGATCATTATTATAATGGTGGCACCAGTTTCTGGAATGGTATGGATGCATCTTATTTGTCTTTTGATGGTGCACGCAATTCCTGTTCGGGCAAGAGCCATGCAGTTCTATGAGAAGCTGCTGTGGAACAGAAGCAAGGGTTTGGAGAAGCTTATATTCGAATTCATGCTTTATGCTGCAGAATCAACAAGAACTGATGCAGGTTTGGTTATTAATGCACTTGTTTTGCATCCTCAATTGTTGATCTGTGAAAGTATGATTTTGCTAACTTCAGTTGCTGGACAAGAGGGTTGTGAAAAGCATTCATCCTATGGTATGACAGAAGAATTGATCAAGTCGCTGGGTTGTGAACTACTTATCTGAACATGGGGAGTGTCCTCTGCTGGCAAGAGACGTCATTTAGAAAGTTGCTGTGAAGTGCTGATTTGTGTACAAATATTCTCTTCAGTTCGTTGGTAATGAAGAAATTGTTTGCATCCTCATTCGGGAAATGTGTGTGATGTATACTGGCAAAATTGAATCAAGATTCAAAGGTGGAATTTCGGTTTTTGTTGCTTAGTTTTGTATGTATCGACGCTGAGTGTGGACATTTATAGGGCTAAGGAATCCATGCGTTTTGATTAAATCGTTGGGGAATGTTTTTGCCCAATCACAGCTGGTTTGTCCCTCCCACATGCGCAGGATTGGTTACAGAACATGTCAAGGATGTGCCCACTCTTTTGAGCCGTTTGGCACAGGACCATCCCCTTCACATGAAACTGAAACCCAGTTAAAGGGGTGGGGGATTTCCAGATGTCTGTGAGAGCAATGAAACCATTTGTGAGGGGGACTTGTTTTTCTCGTTTCAACTCTGGGGCCCATATGGTCTTTTTTCTATTTTCTTCCCGGTTTTGTGAACCTACGATGAGTTATTGGCCACACCAGGGTTCGAAAATTGCATTGGATACTGGTGCTGAACAAAAATACCGTGCTTACAGTATATTGAAAGGTTTTAGTTTTAAATATGATGCTGTAATATACAGTACTGTGTTTTGATACATATCCTCCTGAAAATTAAAGTATTCTCATATTTCCCAATGCCCGGTTTTTTTCCAAAACAAATGCAGTATTAAATATAGATGAGAACTTTGTCTGATGGATGTGTGGAAAATGAAAGGGAATATGGAATGGAAAATGCCTATTGACAGAGTTTTGATTGTGCAGCATTAGGTACATGATGTCAGGGGTAAGGAACCCAAACGGGAAAGTCATTATACCATCACTAATATACTGCAGCCCCATATTAAAGTGAAAAATTGTCATGACAAAAAACTGCAAACTTCAGCAGTTCATAATGTTTTGTCAGTTCCCATGCGAAAGAGAAGTGTCACGAGAATAAGCGTCAATTAACCCGCAAACAATGTGAATAATGTATAATATGCTGAATCTTACATCAGTATAATGTATTCTACCTGCTGCTTTATGCGCGTGCTGAACTTATCACAGTACAGTATTTACAATGTAACTATTCCTTTATTACTATACACTATAAACTACAGTATCAATTTTTTTTGCCAGGTTTGTGATTCGTCTAAAGTTATGGTACTGTATATTCGAACATGTGCGCTGATTCGCTGAACTCATGTGATGAGAATTGGGATGGGAAGGGGTTGGCCCGTACTGTGAGACCTGACTTGTATCGTCAAAGCTGGTGGATGTTGAACATGCTGGCACCCATTTCCATATGCATTTTTTTCTTGAACCTCTTTGGCAGATTCAATACTCTGACGCGAGTTTCCAACTAAGGACTTCAGCAAATATATAACAGGTGAACACCACAGGACCGACTCGAATTATTACTTCCTCAGGCAGAAGTGGCGCTGAGATTTTGAAACAGGAACCAGCATTTCAACAGCCCTGAACCCCTCCCCTGAGAATGGCTTTATTGCTGTGCAAGTGACAGTTGCCACGCAAATTTGGCGGGAAGCGGATGTCCTGGCCAAAATAATGGGTGCACTTTTCTGGGATTCGGGACCAATCCTCCTTCACATACACTGTATACACATGTGCGCGTGTATCGAGGATAAGATGAGAGACGAGCTCCGTTTTTTTCACGGTGACCCTGTTTTTTCCCATTTGCCCATCGCGTATGTAATTCAAAGCAATAATCTGCCTCGTGTGCGTCCGAAAAATTGAGTTAGATTTCTTTCTCTATACAGGATACATAAACTGATGAAGTAGAGTTGATGAATGGAAATTTCCAGTGTAACGTGTGATTTTGCGTCTCCGACGAGAGACCTTGTATCATATCAGTGTCGGAAGGCAATAGAATTTGAGACATGTTCTGAACATTTTTGTCATTTGACGGAAACAGCAGTTATATGATTCGATAATGATCGTCATTTCCTGATGTTGCGTTTCGCGACGCGAGAGTGACTTTTTCCAAACCAATTAATGAAATTTCCGCTGAATGTCTCAATGCTTTGCTTTGGAACGATTCCCGGTTTTAGTTGATTTTAATACCGCTAAATTCGCTTGCTTTTTCTTGGCAGAAAAGAGAGGAAAGTTAATGCCGACCGTCGATTTTCTGACCAGAATAAGTGATCGGAGGCAGCGTTTTCTCAGTGTGCATCATGCCTCCAGTGAAAAGAATGAATGACACTCCAGGGTCTCTTGGAAGCATACAGACAAACCGGAAATGCGCGAAAACGGAAACAGACGTGGTCGGTGATCTCAGCAGTGAATCAGCGCTGGGGTCGAGAATAGGTTTCAGCCGTTGTTTCGACAGAGAGGACTAAATGTGGACCAACCCAACCTTGTATTCAAATCGAAGGATCAATTTCAACTGCAGCAAATGTCACCAGCTGTGTGGTTGAAAGGACAGCGAAAAAAGCAAGGTCCAATGAAACTGTTTCTAACGTTCTAGCCGTTGCGATGGCTGTCGCTAAAGGCGACGCTCGAGACTTCCTTTCACTTGTTCACCGTAACTTTCGGAAGCGCTTTCAAGAGCTCTAAAAACAGCTGAGGAACTCGATGAAGTAAGGCTACTTTTTCCTACGGAACTTAGGTTGACTCCGTCTCGTCCTCCAGAAGCTGACGAAAGAGTTGAATCTCATTGTCTTCCTGTCTCCAAAAGAACTCGTTCACGAGTGGACAAACCTGCGACCATCTCAGAGAGCTATCCTTGGAGTATCGTTTCCGGAAGGTCCAAGAAATGCTCCGTCGACTGCACTCCCATTTGACTACTTGTTCAATAGGGAGGGAAAAGACGTTTACGAATCCGAGATTCAAAATTACGGAAAAGGAGCTCCTCTCCAAGGGAACATCAGAGAGTTTGTTTTGAAGTATGAAACAAATTTGAAAAGTCACTTTCCTGAAAAATTCACCGGGGAATCTGACAGATATTTCGAAGATGTTTGGGTGTTCTTCAGGCCTGTACATGAAGCGCCCAAAAATCTACTCACTCCCGGAGACCGAATTTCGCTTTTTCTGTTGCATCTGGACGGCAAGCCTCGCAAGATGATGTCCCTTTTTCTGACCCAGAATACTGACCAAGAATACATTGAAATGATACGCATGATGTTCGCTGAACACGGAAAATCGGTCTGAATAGAAGACAGATTTTCCGTGATCTTGAAAACCTTCCACCTCCGGATGCTGGTTTGATGGCTCGCCGCCTTTTTATGTACTTATTCCATAAGAGCTACCATTATGCGAACTGCTTAGAATTTTGACTGTACCTTCAGCGCGTGTTTGCGTAAACCGGGTTTCACTTTAGTTCAGACAGCCTTTATCACATCCTGCTGGATGCTAAGTTGAAATCCCAGTGTGATGTGGTAAAAATTCGTGAGAACAGGGTTGAAGAATTTTATGAGCGTATTTTCTGGATTATGTTCAGGAAAATCAGGAAGGCCTATCCTGGAAATAACTGACGGAACATGAAAATCCCCGCCATGCAGATCTGCTGGCGCACAAACACACAGCATTTAACCATCCAAGAGCATCTGTTCTATGCCAAAACAGTGTTCGCGAACTGTCTTCCTTGATTGATGGGAGTGCTGTGAAGTATCCTATTGTATGTATATATGTCTTGCCACTGGTTTCTCAATTTTTATGCCTGTATTAATTTCTTATTCGGAATACGATCAAAATTTATTTGGTCTAAGTTGGAACGGTTATAATAGCTGAATATCTTTTATGGTAATACTGAAGTTGTATGGAGAGGCGGGAAGCCATGTGCTTAACTAATTTTTCTGTCTTGGTTGTGTGCGGATAAATGATTTTTAACATTATGCAAATACAATATTTGTCCAATTCTAAACCCCGTTTTTCATTTTTCTTCATAAAGGCGGAATCTATTACACAGAATATGTTATGACTCGCGAGTCGCAACAGTGCTAATATGATCCCAGAAAGGTAATTCCGTGCTTTCATGCATGGCATCCGACACTATCAAATTTACTACATATCCTAAGACGAATATATGAAGAAAATTTTCATGGGTTTAAGTTTTTCATCCATAAAAATCATAGAGTTCGGGAATTCTGTCAAGTTATGAAAACTACCGAGCGGCGGAAAAATACATGAATAAGGTATTCTCGATGGTAATACGCTTGACGAATCTTAAAACTGACATGGAAGTCGCGCACAAACGCATTTGGCCCAAAGTGAAATCAAGTCTGTCGGAGTATCACATCCTGCTGGATGCTAAGTTGAAATCCCAGTGTGATGTGGTAAAAATTCGTGAGAACAGGGTTGAAGAATTTTATGAGCGTATTTTCTGGATTATGTTCAGGAAGGCCTATCCTGGAAATAACTGACGAAACATGAAAATCCCCGCCATTCAGATCTGCTGGCGCACAAACACACAGCATTTAACCATCCAAGAGCATCTGTTCTATGCCGAAACAGTGTTCGCGAACTGTCTTGATTGATGGGAGTGCTGTGAAGTATCCTATTGTATGTATATATGTCTTGCCACTGGTTTCTCAATCTATATGCCTGTATTAATTTCTTATTCGGAATACGATCAAAATTTATTTGGTCTAAGTTGGAACGGTTATAATGGCTGAATATCTTTTATGGTAATACTGAAGTTGTATGGAGAGGGGAAGCCATGTGCTTAAGCTTAACTAACTGGTACCAGAAGGCAGCAATTGCTGCAGTTTTTGGCAAAGAGTGTATTCCTGTGGATTGAGGTCATGCAACTCCTGCTATACATCTGTTCATACTCATAAAAGTTGCTATGTGTTCTGTATCATGGTCAGTGTAGATAGTTGTCCTGAATAATTTTTCTGTCTTATTGGTTGTGTGTGGATAAATGATTTTTAACAATATGCAAATACAATATTTGTCCAATTCTAAACCCCGTTTTTCATTTTTCTTCATAAAGGCGGAATCTATAACACAGAATATGTTATGCCTCGCGAGTCGCAACAGTGCTAATATGATCCCAGAAAGGTAATTCCGTGCTTTTATGCATGGCATCCGACACTATCAAATTTACTACATATCCTAAGACGAATATATGAAGAAAATTTTCATGGGTTTAAGTTTTTCATCCATAAAAATCATAGAGTTCGGGAATTCTGTCAAGTTATGAAGTCTCGAATACTTTAGTCTCTTTCCATCAGGCAAATCATTAAACTCTGAGTGATTCTTTCTTGTAAATCCGCATAGGAGCGGCAGAAACGGGATTCCAGGCATTTTTTATTCCCTACAGTTTGCATGCCATTTACAAGAACTATCCAGAATTGGTCATCTCCATCAATGCTGTTCGCAGAAATTATTGCACACAATGATTTCTTCCAGCCCAATAGACAAACGACAAACAAAAACTTTTAGGAATTTATAATTTTGCTACAAAACATTTTCTAATATGTTGTTCGTTGTGGTAATTAACTGATCCCAATCTTTACTCGGAAAAATTTCCTCTCAGCATACTGTATTTATGATAGCATGAAATTGGAAATTTTTTCTCGGAAAAATTTACG